AAAACTCCTAAAATCTGTGATGAGCTGACGATGCCTCCACGTGTTTAACCATTCCTGAATACTCCTTCACAGAACTCTGTGCATCTCTCCTTTCTCTCTGGGGTACAGACTACATCACCAGGTCAAACAAGACTCCAGTTCCCAAGATGCAGTTGTCCCAGGGAGACACCCAGAGAGTCGCGTCTCTCTGCAGCAGTTTATGAATCTATGATGGCGCTGTTCACAGAGTGACACACTCTCCAGATGCAGATATGTCGTGGTCATTTCTCCCTCAAATATTATCCGTCACGAAGCGAGAAGTCTGCGGGATGCGGAGGAGGAAAGTGTCTCATGGAAAATGAAGGAGGGAGTCACAGTCCAGAGGCTTGTATCATTTCTGTTTTCATCCCTCTCCTCATTCTCCTCCTCCTCCTCCTCCTCCTCCTCCTCATGCTGTTGTTTTATTTCTGCAGCTCCTGCGGCGTGCTGAAGGTCTCGTAGACGTTGGCGGCAAACTCCTTCACCTGGTCGTTCATCAGCAGGTCCTGGTTAGATGATGACAGAGAAGTGTGAACAGAAAGATCATCATTAGTCTCCATATTGTTTTTGAAGTGAAGTTTCTCTGTTGCCATCAGGACGTTGTTTTGTTTTATTCTAAAACTTTCATCAGATTAGAGCTTGACCGATTAATCTGCCAGTAGATAATATCCGCCGATATTAGCATATCAAGCGACTATCGGTTGTAGCTAATTTTATCGCTGATATTAAGAGATTTATTTACCAGGGCAAAAGCATTTCTTTTGCATATCGTTGAATTACACTAGAAATTCTCTGTCACCAGCAGAGGTCGCTATGTGGATTACAAAAAGGATCATCACTCCTCACTGTGGGCTGGCCACAAAAGCCTGAGTCAAGCTCCTCCCCCTTCTCTCTAAATCTGCAGCCAGGATCAGAAGGACGGCTTCAGCCACAACTTTTTCTTTTCTTTGAGCAGAATGTTTTAGACTCTTTTACGTTTCTTCCCCTGAGCCAGGGTCGTAACACACTTGATAAGTATAATGAATATATCGTACTCAAAGCATTCAAACTGAAATATTGTATCTGAAAGGACAGCAGCGACAGGTATTGAAAAACAGCTCTTTGTGCCGTCTTTTGTTTCATTATCGATCTGCAGTGTGGACTTTGCCGATGTGTGCAGCCAAACACGCGACAAACAAGTGCAACCTGACCTGTTTGATGTTTGTTTGTCTTTTGTTTATTTAGCAGCGGACCGAGCAGAAAACCATGAACATGGTCAAACATCAAAATCATGATCTGTCGGCTCTCACCTGAACAAAGTGACTGGGAGTCTCGCTGCAGATGGTGTTGATCTGACCGTTCATGATGGGGATGATCTTTGCCAGCGGAAGACTGACCGCAGACAGACTGGAAACACACACACACACACACACACACACACACACACACACACACACACACACACACACACACACACACACACACACACACCACACACTTTTTATACCTTTATTAGAGAAACGTAACAGCAGAGAAATCAGGGAGACAGAGAGACAGAGAGAGAGAGACGGAGAGAGGGAGAGAGAAAGAGTGGGAGAGAGAGAGGGAGGGAGAGAGAGAGGAAGAAGATAGAGAGAGAGGGAGAGAGAGCGAGAGGTGAGAGAGAGAGAGAAGGAGAAGATAGAGAGAGAGGGAGAGAGAGGTAGAGAGAGAGAGAGGAGAAGATAGAGAGGGAGAGAGAGAGGGAGAGGTAGAGAGAGAGAGAGAGAAGGACAAGATAGAGAGCGAGGGAGAGAGAGAGAGAGAGAGAAGACAGAGAGAGGGGGAGAGAGAGAGAGGGAGAGAGAGGGAGAGGTAGAGGGAGAGAGAGAAGGAGAAGATAGAGAGAGAGGGAGAGAGAGAGAGAGAGAGAGGGAGAGGTAGAGAGAGAGAGAGAGAGAAGGAACAAGATAGAGAGAGAGGAGAGAGAGAGAGAGAGGGAGAGATGTAGAGAGAGAAGGAGAAGATAGAGAGAGAGGGAGAGAGAGAGAGAGAGGGAGAGATGTAGAGAGAGAGAGAGGGAGAGAGAGAGTGTTCTGGAGTGTTTTTAAAGGCTTTAAAAAGAGTCTGCATTCATTTCTTTGTTTAACTCAGGACACAATCAGCTGTAAGCATCATGAGTAAATGTTGTCTCGATGGTTAAGTGGCTCACCTGTCAGGTGCGGACTCAGGGGAGGAGTCACCAGGAGGCGGGCGGAAGAACTCGGCCAGGTTGTCCAGAAGACGAGAGAAGCCTCGGTTCAAACAGGTGCTGAGGACGGTGCCGAAGTCTGGGCTGAAGACCGAAAAAAAAAACAACACACATCAGAGTCACAAAAACAGAAAACAAGTCAACGGGTGTGAAATCAAACAAACACACAGGTGTGACTTCTACCTGTCCAACATGTCTCTCGTCTCGTTTAACAGTCTGATGGTCACGGCGTCGTTTTCTGTCAGCCCACAGGCCTGAAGAGGAGACGATATACATCATATACTCGGGTGATTTTTTAAAAATATCTGTGAACAATGTTGAGTTTCTGTTTACCTGATCGGCGAGCGTGTTCTCGTCGTCAGCCAGCATGTACCAGGACAGCGGTCGCTCTGATCCCGCCTCCACCTCCGCCCTGATCCAACTGAGCTGCTGCTCCAACTCCAGCAGAGACAGACTCTGCTTCAGAGACATGCTGACGGCACAACACAGAGTCACATGACAGCTACTCTGATCGGTCTTTGATCCTTTAAAAGTCTCTTATTCAGCAAAAACTTTTTTTAAAAGACAATGTTTGCTCCTTTTTCTCCCGTTCAACATGTTATAAATCAAAGTTGTCGGTTGCGATTTGAAAATGTCCCGTGTAGCTCCTGGAACTTTTTTCCAACATGAAGTTTTTTTTTGGATGAAAATGTGAATAATGACGAGTTACGGACACTCACCCTCCCAGTGAGTTCTGAACTGCTCTCTTCACGACCGTCATCAACTCTGTCAAACCTGGACACACACACACGCACGCACGTACACACACACACAGAGGCAGCAGTCAGAGGTGATGTTACACAGATGTACAGACAGACAGAGGTGAACAGTGTTTTACAGAGCTGTGTGTGTCCATCATCCTACCGTCTCCCAGAAGGTGCTGGATGCTGGACAGGTACTGCTGCTGGACGTCTGGAGGAGCCAGAGGAGTCTGACAGGAAATAACAGAGACAATCAAACACACTTAATATTCTCTGGTTTTACAGTTTGGCATGATTATCCAGGATCTCTTCTTCCCTTTCAAGTATTTTGTCTTGGTTATAACTCAGTGTCCAAACAGAGAAGTATTTGGGTTGAACCACAGGTTGTATCAGGGACAGAAGCTCGTACATGTCGTGCGTCCTCACCATTGCGCTCTTGCCCACAGAGTTGTCCAGGTACAGGTATCCTCCGATGATGTTCAGCTGGACTCTGAGGAGAACCACCAGCATGCAGGTGCTGTACACCCCGACGATGGTGCGGGTGAAACCTGACCCACACAACAAGACACACAACGTTTGTGATCAAACATGTTGTTAAAAAGTTAGCATTTCATCTGCTTGAACAGAGCAGAACTTACTGATGATCTTTAAGTCTTCCCAGACTTCAAGCTTGTTGGCTGGTCTGTAAGTCAGAAGAAGATTTCCTTTATTGATCCACATATTACAATACACATATTATTCTCAGGTGAACACAACAAAGATGTTTAGTAAAACAGGAACATTAAAAACAACGTAGACAAAGTCAGATATTAAATCTACGACATGTCAGAGGATAGATTGTTTGACTGATTGAATCCAAGAGGGAAAGACGTTCAGACTCACTTGGTCTTTAGTAGTGCTGTGAGACTTTCTGAGTTGAGTTGATTGATGATGGCTTCTTTTAGTGGAGGGAGCATGGACAGCACTGCAAACAGAACGAACACACTTTAAATGATTTGTGCCGACATGAGCAGAGATTCATTCTAAACATTTACTTTGCAGAGCATCAGTGACTTATAATAAAATAACTCATTCAGGGATATTAAAAGCATTGATCGTCTTCGGAGGTGAAGGCGTTACCCGTCATGTTGAACGTTCTCTGGTTGCTTTCAAAGTGGAACTGTCGTCTGGCCTGAGCGATGTACTCCGTCGCCTCCTTCTCCTGGATATCCCCGATCTTCTTCTGAGCATACTTACCCAGAAAGTACACTCCTGAGGGATCGAGAAGACGGACATAAGATGCAGTACTAAGTAGGGCAAGGCGATATATATCGAGCTGGAAAAGATGTCACACCCGAGTTTACCACGTCCCAGATGTTGGTTGGCAACAAGTTGGACGAGCTGCATGGTCACCTCCACGAGTAACCTGTGTTTTGTTAGCTAATATGTGTCGATAACAACACAGTACGTTTTAGTTTTGTACGAAAAATAACACGACAACTCGTCCACAGATACGATACTATCGGTGTGATTGATTTAATTAGACAAAAAAAGGACTAAACTGCTACTAAACACAACAGTCACATCTTAAACTTTACTGTTGATGCATGTAGCCGTCATGTTGGATTTTTAACTCTACTGGCTTCTGAAGTTCCTCCCAGTTTCCAGCTCAAAAAATATCCAGCTTCCTAAATCAATTGGAACGCACCATCAACCCCAAGTTGCTCCCTCTGCTTCATCAGTGGTGTATGAATGGATTAGTTACTTCTGATGGACTTTTTACTCGGCAGCCTCTACCATCAGTGTGTGAATGTGGAGGTGTGACCTGCGGTTTAAAAGACTAGAAAAGAGCTAAACAACTTCAAGTCCATTTACTGTCATTCAGCTAAAGATCATGGAGATATGATCCATGTTCTCCAGCTCTACTTCTATAAAGCCCCAAATGTCTAAATCAGTGTTTTTCCATGTAGGCGAAAAGTCCTGGTTACAACAATAATTAAGAAAAAGCAATTAAGTGATTTGAAAAAATAACTGTTCTGAGTTTAACTTTGAAATCCAGCATTATGCATTAAGAGGAAGGATGTGCATACCTTCACCTTTTCACAATAAAACCCTCCAAACATCTAATAAATGCAAAGATAAAACACATTTTCACAATAAAACCCTCCAAACATCTAATAAATGCAAAGATAAAAATTACTAAATACTGTTTGTAAAGCAATTAAATATAAGACAAGATAAAACACCTTTCAGTTTGTATTAAACCACCTGGGAGAAATCTCCATCACAGCAGGTCAGTATTTAAGTTTAATGCATTATTAACCTGTTGTTATGATGATAGCAGTTTAATGTGTTTAATGTGTTTAATGTGTTTAATGTGTTTAATGTGTTTAATGTGTTTAATGTGTTTTGGGTGGAAGGCCGAACCTCATTGAACTTTCTGTCAGTTTAAAGATCAGCTGTTTGTTTAAAAAGCCTGAATTAAAATGAGTTCAGTTAAAAGGGTTTAACAGATTTGAGTCTTTGGGATGATTCCGGCCTGTTTTAATAAAGTAAATAATTATAAATATGACATATTCTCAGGAAGGTCCAACGTGTTGCTAAGTTACCAGCTAGCTCAAGAAGCTAACAGAAGCTAACAGGAACTCACCTCCGATAAAAGCTCCGGTGAAAATAAATTTCCTTTTGTGACGTTTAATAAAATTCCACACAGATGAAAACATCTTTGTAGACTGAGAAGTTTAGAAACTTAAACTAAAAAAAAAAAAAACACCACTCCGTACTTTGAACTTCGTGATAACTATTTCACGGACATTTCATCTGAAGACTTTCGGGCTACTCCGTGTTAGCATGCACAGGAGCAGTCTAACGTCACTTCCGGTTCGCCAGAGTGACCACGCCCCCGTTTGGGTGAGAACTGTCAGAAGTGCTAAAGTGTTTCCGTCAAGTGGCGCATAGTGAGTTATAGAAGTTCCGGTTGTTTTTCTCCAGAATAAAACCATTTATTTGTCTTTTTAGAATTTTAGTAGATGTAGTTTGCGCAGCCATAGTCTGTCCGTTTATATGATAAGCAGAGATATTTATATTTTGATATATCTCTCCAGGACACTATGAGGGACAAAAAATGACTAGTATAGTCAGTATAAGTATAAATTAATTAATTAATAAATTAATAAATAAATAAATAAATAAATGTTGGGAGAAATGCATACAATAATGTATAAATAAATGCATCAATAAATATCTAAATAATTATATTAATATATTATTTATGTATTTCTGTGTCCATGTTGTACAAGGAAAAGTAAATATGTAAATGAAGTGGGCCGTCCTAACATTACTGAGTAGGATTGGTCAATTTGAAAAACAGACAGAAGCAAATTTACATAAACTTTTCCTCTTGACGATGGACACAGAAATAACTAGATGTGTAAATGTAAAAATACGGATTAAATTAATAACTCAATTAATGTGGAAATGTATGCATTGATACATATATAATGTAGGAATACGCTAATAAATAAATAAATACATGTAAAAATATAACTTGGCTTTTTTCATTAACAAAGTGTATTTATTATTTATTCTTTGATGTATTGTTTCAGCATATATTTATTATTGATGCATTTTTAATTATTATTTATTTATACATTATTGTATGCATTTCTCCAACATTTATTTATTTATACTTTAGTCATTTTGTGTCCCTCATAGGACACATGATCCTATTAATAAAGCCCAACATTAAGGGAGGGAGTCATACTTTTATTTTGTATCCAATCCACTTTACTTCCGCTTTGAATGTGACTAACTGTCGCTCACTTGACGCAACAACGCAAACACGAGGATGAGCGTGGAGAGGCACGATCGACCGAGCAGGTCGATTGTTCTTGTCTGGATTTTGGTCGTCAAGTATTATCGTCCCCTGTCGTTCTAAAGAGCATGGCGAGCAGACTGCAGGGCACGATTATGATGCATTAAGTAGTTCAAAAGCAGTTTTTAAGCATGTCATTTTTATTCAAGTAAAGCGTAAAGTCGTCGCAGTTGCCATGGGAACAGAGGAGGAGAGTTTCTCTCCAGTGAGGAGGAAACAGAGAGGTGGATGTGCAGCGCTTTTGACATGGTGAGAGATACATGACATTTATGTTAATAAATTAATTAAAAAGGTTGAATATGTTGTTGCATGTGCCTGATAAGTTTTATAGAGTAACAGATTTCAAAGTAATTACTGAAAAGTCATCTATTATACTTAACATTTTGAGATAATTCCTTAATTTTAAGCACATTTTCCTTTAATTATGAGCTTAATAAAGCTGTAAAGACATCACAAGGTTATCCAAAGGTAATAAAAAAACTATGAATCAACGACTGTAAGAAAAGTAAAAGTAACATATGCATAATCCACTTCATCATGTTTCTCTAACTCTTAATATGTGCCCTAGTCCGTCTAAAAGCCCCAATGATGAGTAAAGTCCATCCTCTCGTTTCTGCCTGCTCCACTTTTCAGAAAATGTGTGCTCAAACAGGCCGTTTGTAGATTTTCCCTTATGACATCACAAAGGGCAGTAGCCCCTCCAGTGGGTGACACTCCACAGTAGGTGTTTGTTCTGCCTCTGAGTCTGCTTCTCACCGTAAACAATAGGACATGGAGCGAGAAGCACCGAGTACACCCCAGCTACTCCAGAGAGAGGGGCGTGGTCAGACAAGCTCATTTACATATTTAAAGGTACAGACACAGAAACAGCCTGTTTCTGAGCAGGCTGAAATAGAGGGTTTATAGACATGATCAATACAGGATCAGAGTGGATTTAGAACAAGAAACTTCACACACATGTTTTGAGGAGCTCTGAACTTATTTACACTGAAGAAGGAGGAGGATATGTGACTTTAACACATTAACTAGTAGAGTCTCTGGTTTAGAGAATGTGCAGTGGGGTCTCAGGTGTGACATGCTGTTGTGTGTGATGTATTCCTGCAGCCAAAGACGTCTGGAGAACGAGAGGTGCCGGTGGGATGTCTGATGGTCTACAACGAAGTCGTGGGGAAGGGAAGAAACAAAGTCAACGAGACCAGAAATGTAAGAAAGAAATGACACAAACACTTTTTAAAATGAATGAATGGTTTGACGAGCTAATTCCAGCTTCAAACAGATCATGACACAATCTTTGCACACTTATATTAATCTTTGTGTGTGTGTGTGTGTGTGTGTGTGTGTGTGTGTGTGTGTGTGTGTGTGTGTTTGTGTGTGTGTTAGGCAACTCGCCACGCAGAGATGGTCGCCCTGGATCAGCTCCTGGATTGGTGTCGCCGTAGCAACCTGGATGTGAGCAGCGTGTGCAAGAGAACGGCGCTGTACGTCACCGTGGAGCCGTGCATCATGTGTGCTGCAGCGCTGCGCCTCAGCAGTATCCTCCCCCCCCCCAAAGTGTGTGTTTTAAATACTGTATCTGTGTGTGTGTATAGTCTGTGTGTGCTTCAGTGTCTGTTTCTTAACCAGCGGTCAGACATCCCCGTGGTCGTGTACGGCTGCAGGAACGAGCGGTTTGGAGGCTGTGGTTCAGTTCTGGATGTTTCCTCTGCAGACTTACCTCACACAGGGAACACATTTAAGGTGTGGGGTCTTTTTATCTTTGTGTTAGTTGCTTTAAAATGTGTGTATGACTAAGTGTGTGTGTGTGTGTGTGTGTGTGTGTGTGTGTGTGTGTGTGTGTGTGTTCAGTGTGTTTCAGGCCACAGAGCAGAAGAAGCTGTAGAGATGCTGAAGTCGTTCTACAAACAGGAGAATCCAAACGGTGAAGAATAAAAACCCCTCAGTCTTCTTCATTTACTTCTTGTCCTCGCTTCCTTCTTTACCTCCTCTTCTCGTCTTTCTTATTCTCTTCTTCTGTTTGAAAAAATACTCTCTCTAAATAGTGACATTCCTCTCCTCTCCTCTCCTCTCCTCTCCTCTCCTCTCCTCTCCTCCTCTCCTCTCTCTCCTCCTCTCTCTCTCTCCTCTTGTCTTCTTAGATTTTAGATTTCTTCTACTCCTCTCCCTCCTACTCTCAGTTGTTTTTGGTTCTCCTCCCTTTAACAGTTTTGTATTTTCTGTCTGTTTCAGCCCCAAAACCCAAAACAAGGAAGGACTGAACGTTCTGTTATATATCTACTTTTTATCATTCCTGTACTGCGCCTTTTTAAATTTGTTTTAATTTAATAAACAACACTTTATGTAAAATGTTCTGTGTTTCATTCTGATGTCCTCTCACTGTCGTTGTTTGCGCATCAGTCTCCCAGCAGGGGGCGCACTTCAGCAGCTAGCTTCAAAGAAAGATGAAGCCTCTAAACAAACTTACGATGAACTGAACGTGTCATCTATCTGCTGTTGGTGTGAGATGTGTCCACTCACAGATAAGAGTGTAAAAGTGAAACTTACAACATGAAATGGTCAGAATATTTTAAAAAGAGAGTTTCAAACTCAATTAGATTTGATCTTCTTTCATTTCTTTGTGTGTGAGGTCGTGTTGTTCGTCTTCTTTCTGTGTCAGTGTGAATGTGAAACCACCAACAAACCATTTCCTGTTCAACGTCTCTGACAACGAGACAGAAGAAAAGTGAGAAACTGTGTGTGTGTGTGTGTGTGTGTGTGTGTGTGTGTGTGGGGGGGGGGGGGGGGGGGTAGTGCTTGTCAAAGAGGGTGAACTAAACAGCTCATACAACACACACACACACACACACAAGCACTACCCCACACACACACACACACACACACACACACACACACACAAGCACTACCCCACACACACACACACACACAGTGTCACAACTCAGACCGTTTCTGCCGTCTCACTTCCTCTCGTGTGTGTGTGTGTGTACGTGTGTGTGTTCTCAGTGTTTTTTTTAGCTCGCCCCAGCTGTGAAACTGAGTGTGCCGAGTGTAAGAGAGAATGTTTGTGGCATATGTGTGTTTGGGATCATTTGTGATCTTCGTGTGTGTGTGTGTGTGTGTGTGTGTGTGTGTGTGTGTGTGTGTGTGTGTGTGTGTGTGTTTCAGGTGTCCAGAGTTTTAATCTCTTTGATCTAAAAGAGACGAGATGCAAAAAAAGTCTGTTCTTTGTTTTTTTACGCGTCATCACTTCCTTCCTTCCTCCCCCACTTCCTTCCTTCCTTCCTCCACCACTTCCTTCCTTCCTCCACCACATCCTTCCTTTCATACTTTCTCACAATTGATCTTTTGCTTACTTAAATTCATTCATATTACCTCCCAGCTGCTCTTGTTTCTTTATTTTTAACCCTTTTTATTTTTTTCCATCAAACATTTGATTTATTTAAAGAGACAGCGTCGTTACTTTGAGATAGAAATTATCCAAACGTGAACTTTTAAAATCTTATTTCCTTCCTTTTCTCAATTCTTATGTCGTCTAACTTTTAGTAGTCTTTGAAAACTCCCCAAAAGTGAAGCTGGAACATTTATTTCTCCCCCTGCTGACTGGCTGCAGTGCAGGTCATAAGCTCCGCCTCCTCCATGTTAACAGATGAGACACAGGTCAAACTATCAATATGTAACCGTCTTAAAAGCGTCTACCTTCTCTGGTCCAAACAAATCCAGAGCATTCAGGAGCAGAATCTAAAGTGTCTCTGCTGCCGTGGGTGTATTTTGGCTTCACTTTAGAACAACGAGAGGAGCTGGGAATGCTTCTTCCATCTTTATACACAGTCTGTGGTCTTACAGTAACCCTTTTCTACTTCCTCTTCCTGTTCAATCAGATGTCCTATAAACCTGCAGGTGTTTATTCTGCTCTGTTCAGATCCTTCACCGACAGGTTTGGGATTTTCTTTTGCGTCTGAACGTGCGCCGCAGACCAGCTCCTCTCTGCTCGTTAGCATGCAAATCTATGCTAATTAATGCAGAGCAGAATATTCCAGAATGTTTTAATGTGTCACCTCAGAGTGGAGGAGCTGACGTGTTAATGAAGGGACCACACACACACACACACACACACACACACACACACACACACACACACACACACACACACACACACACACACACACACACACACACACACACACACACACACACACGTACACACACACACACACACACACAGACACACACACACACACACAGACACACACACACGTACACACACACACACACACACACACACACACAGAGAAAGAGAGAGGGAGAGCAGTGCAGAGCTAGCTGTAAAGCGCTAATGAACAAAGTGTGATGTGTCAAACTCTCCTTTTCAAAATGACAGCACGAGGAGCCACACACACATTTATACACACACACACACACACACACACACACACACACACACACACGCGCGTAAAAAGAAAGCGGTGTAACATGAGATGTCATCTTTTGTAAAGGTGAAAGAAAAACACTGCAGGAGAGAACAAAGGAGGAGTGTATATTTAGTTATTTTACTACAAAACGACCCGAGAGACGACACGGGGGGAGGGGGGACAGGGGGGGAGGGGGGGACAGGAAGTCGTGTTTTTGTGTGTGTGTGGTTTCACTTCTCTCAAGTCTCAAAGAAGACAAAAGGAAACTACCTGAAACGCTCTCAGACGTGAGTCACTCTTCAGAGGAGAAGAAATCAAACATCGAGAAGTTCTTCACTTTTATTTAGTGGTTCAAATGAAGCACAACATATTTCTGCTGTATTTTGATTCTATTTTGTTAAACTGTAGTGTTCCCATTCCTTTAATATAAATATGTTTTACTTAATCATCTGAGTATCTCCAAAGCTATTAGTCATATTTCTTAATACTGCGTCTTAGTTTTCCTCAGCTAACGGAGACGCGTCACTGTTCTGTTCTGCAGTCAATTAATACTTGAATCTTGATTGTGGCGCCCCCTTGTGACCAAAATAGGTACTCCTCATTTCAGACAGACCTCTATCTGACAAGCTGCAAATAAATTCATCTGTTTTAGATGCTAATAAAAGACGCCGAGTCGCCCTTTTTCCCATATTTTTCATTCAAACAAACCTGTTTAGGACTCAGAACGAGAAGGTGATGAATTAAAAATATATAAATATGAAAGATTGATGAATGTGAAACTTTAACACTTTGTTCTGCAACACTGAAACACAATATGAATTCATACAGAGACACTAACATTACACCATCATGGAATCAAGATGAATCCTGTATTTGATCATGTCTATAAACCCCTCTATTTCAGCTCTGCTCAGAACAGACTGTTTCTGTGTCTGTACCTTTAAATATGTAAATGAGCTGTGTCTGACCACGCCCCCCCTCTTGAAGGGCTCGGGTGTCTCTGGCTTTCTCGCTCCATGTCCTATTGTTTATGGTGAGAAGGCAGACTCAGGCCGTGTTCACACTTGACTTCTTTTTTCAACTGCCAGCGCCTTTTTTACACACAAACCTATGGAAAAAGAAAAAGGATGACGCCTTTTTCAGTTTAATTATTTCAACTTTTCAGAAAAGCGCTGGGTGACGTCAAGCGGACCAATCAGGACGAGTAGTAACCTACGTCCCTAGTTACCGGTGCCCAAAAACGGCAAACTCCCACCAGATATGTGTGCATTGCGTGTCCGCTCCGGTCTCTTATGGGTCCGTGCATCCTCATCCTACTGCCCTTTGTGATGTCATGAAGGGAAAATCTCCAAACAGCCCGTCTGAGCACACAGAGCCTTGTCTGGAACCAATACTTTATCCTAAAATGACCATTCTTTTACGAGGATCCTCTGAAATATAACTACTATTGATGATTGTCACTGCCAGAGAACATTTTCCACTCAAACTTTATTGATTTTGTACCAACATCAAGTTTCCTCCGTACATGTAGTGTCGCTCATGAGATGAATAATAATGACGTTCTGCTGCAGCTTCTGAAAGAAATCCTTCATTTACAAATACAGCGTGTCTGTTAATATGTTCACATTATGAGTCAATGTATGTTTTGTGCGTTTGTCCAAAGTCCTCCACAACACAAACGCCGACGCAACCTTGAACCTATGACACGACAAAACATCAAAAAAAAAAAAAAAATGAAGAGAGGATTTTCTGTCTTTGTCTAAGTTATTGTTATGAGTAAAGTTCAAAGATTATTGTTGTTTCCACTTCCGGGAGAGGTCGCTTGTTTTTCCTGTTCTTGTGCTGTCCTGGGTGGGCGGGGCTTAGCTCGTCCTCTTCTGGAGGCGGGGCTTATCCATGCCCACACAGACGGGAGAGACGGTCACTCACCTTTGACTTTATCTGAAAGAAAGAGACAAACAGATGAGAGTGTAAACATGTGTGAGAGATTGTGAGGTTTATGTGTGTGTGTGTGTGTGTGTGTGTGTGTGTGTGTGTGTGTGTGTGTGTGTGTGTGTGTGTGTGTGTGTGTGTGTGTGTGTGTACCAGTCTGCTGCTTGTCCCAGATGTAGCTGTTGAGGATTTCTCCGAGCGTGTAGAAAACACAGATCACCGCGGTCATGGCGCTGAAGAAGGCGACCCGAGCCAGCGGAGTGATGCGCTCCAGCACCGGGTACACCCACACGCCCGTCACCTCGTGCACCCAACACGTCCTGAGGGGGCGGGGACACAGAGGAGAGTCAACGTTGAGTCCATTAAGGACCTTTGTGGATACGTTTCATTGTAGAAAAGATTTTAACTTAGGACAAATTCTAATAAATGTAAACTATATTAGAAACGCTAAACGGGGCGGGTTTGAAGAGAAGATCGTCACATATTGGATTTTAATTATTGGCCATGATGTCATAACCTTCTACGGAGGACTGACCACGAGCTACCTGTTTAACTTTGTATGATTACGTTCACGATCTTGGCTAAAAGAACTACACAACCAACAATCCTACAGCATCTCAGCAGCGTCTCTGATGGGTGGAGCCTGCTGTTACCATGGAAATGTTACCGGCCCCAAAAAAAATGTTACAACATTAACAACATCAACACTACGACAAAGATACATGTAGAGAGAAGGTCTGTGTACATTTTGAACGAAGGGTGCAATGGATTGTGGGATGTGTAGTTCTGGAAACAATGATGTCTTTTACATTCGTCTTCTTTCTTGGTTTTCCAATCTTCTTATAGGCTGAATCAAGTGTTTCATAGTTACTGGTATTCAGGTAGCTGAATAAGCTGAATAAGATGGCGGTCACTGTTTTGCCCTCCGTTGTTAAAAACACACTTTTGTATTTCATACACAGTCTACGTTCACTAGATTTAAAAAGTCCTAACAGGGTCCAGGTGACTTTAAACTGGATGTGTAGCGTGTGTTGTTGTTTCTGGTGTGTTGGAAGAAGTCAAACATTTGTTACCAGAGGATGTATCCGACGCCGAAGCAGCACACCGCCACCAGACCCGAAGACCTGCTGGGATAGCGATGGTGGGTGGTCCTCATCTCGATGATGATGAAAGGAAGAACAGTGGTGTGCTGAAAGACACAGACACAAGAAAAGAGGAGGTGGTACATACTTCAGTCTTTCTATGATGTTTAAATTCATACAAATACTTCAGTACATTTGACTGACAGATTTTTGTTACAACACGTTTTGTGTTTTTTTGCGTTCCTTTAAAGGTGGAGTCAGTAGACATGTTCCCTGAAGCTTGTAAACACAAGATTCAGATTGGGCTCCTCGTCCTCCTGGGCTCAGCTCACACTCTCTGCAGGACGTAGGGTGAACGTTTACTGCTTGTACCTACTCTGCAAGCGAACACACGCTAACACAAGCTAACCGCTGGTGTTTGTCACCTTCCTGTCCAACAGGAAGTAGACCAACTCCACGTCTGCAGGTTAAAGCCAAACACAAGGTTCACCCTCGTTTTGGAACAAGCTTTCACCTCTTAACTTTTCGTCTCACTATGATCACAATTGCTGAATTGTATCCACTCCTAAACTAACCTGCTGCGCTGTCATTGGCTGGAGGAAACAGACCAGCTCCTCGCCTAGAAACATCCAGAGTCAACCAGAACATCCACATCCAGTCAGAGGACAGGATCTCTACAGACTCAGGCACCATCACACATGTACGGAGGCCCAGAAGGGATGATGGATAAATGGATAAATTTAAAAAAAAAAAAATTTATTTAATTTTTCAGGACAAAGCTACAGACTGTACCTTTAAGGGTTAGAAGATTGTCCTTCTTCTCCACCTCCTCAAACGGTGATTACTGGATGTTAGTTTGTTCAGTTTAAATAATTAATTCATCCCTTTATACAGCCGGTCTGTGTGTGTGTGTGTGTTATTATTCTAAACATACAAACACACGTAATGGAGGTCATGACATGAGCTGCTATTTTCTGTCGAGCGGTATTCGACACACACTTGAGAATGTGTGTTTTATTTGTGCTCTCTGTGAGTCAACAAACACACAACACCTCGGAAATCACACAACTTTTACAAGAACGAGGGTCAGTAATGTATTCTTGTCTGGACTGATTTTAAATGAACTACCTCCTTTGTCCACTAGGGGGCACGCACAGTCAAAATACAGTGAGCCTTCACAGCAACACACACACAGAAACACACACACAACCAGGCGTAATTGTCTCTGCAGAGTTGAGACCTCTTACCTCAGCTGCACTCTCAGAAGCACAGCTGTGTGTGTGTGTGTGTGTGTGTGTGTGTGTGTGTGTGTGTGTGTGTGTGTGTGTGTGTGTGTGGGGGGGGTGAAGTCAGACCTCTGGGCTCTTTTGTCTCTCCAGCAGTCGAGCCTCGTTATGTTACGATGAGAAAAACATCAACTGGGAATCTTCCATCTGTTAATTACTCCCAGACTGGCTGCTGGAGACGATGAGCAGTGTTTATGTGATGCTGACAGAGATGTTTCTTCGCATTGTTTTTTATCGGACTCAGACAAGTAGGGACGTCAGGGTACCATGTAAAAAACAAACAATGTCGACGACAGTTTCAATAATACAACGAGAAAAAGAGAAGTCCTGAGCACCCAAACCACGGTAAAACTCCTGCACACTGTCTAAAGCAGGGAACACAATACCAGATAATCGGTCCGATTTCGGGCCTGACTCCGCCCCCTGACTGAAGTCAGCAAAGGCCAGGTTATCTTGTCAGATTCTCCTGTGGTGCGAGGTGTGGTACGAGTGATTTTAACCTCCCCAATCTCCTCGGAAGATGATCGGGTCAACATTTAGCAAAATGACAGCATCAATAAAAAACATTTAAAGGAGACATATTCTGAAAAATCCACTTGTACAGCGTTTCTGAACATATATCTGGGTAACCTGAGAGTCTACTGACCCACAAAATGTGAAATAAACCCATCCAGTCCTTTGTTTGTGTTCTGCATAAGTCTTACAACACAGAGGAAAATGCTCCATTTCTAATGTGCTCTCCTTGTGATGTCACAGTGGGATTCTGGTAAAAAAAAATCCCCTCCTCTCCCCTGGTATCTCCACCCATGGACTCCACCGCCAGACTAGAGCAAAACTTTTGTGCAGGTTTTATTTTTTCTACGGAGGAGTGATGTCTACGGGGAAAACTCAGGGGGCGGGGCTTATTGCATTTAAAGAGACACACACACCAAAACGGAGCGTTCTGAGAGAGCTGGTTTATACAGGGTCACAAACCTCCTCTGGTGCTTGATTCATGTTATATTTTGACCAAAGCACAGCACAGATGTTTCATTTAGACCACAGGGGACTGTTTGAAAAGGTGGAGAAGGAGGATAATATGTCCTCTTTAAGAAGCAGAAATCTTGGGCAAAACCAGACTCATGACGAGCAGCCATCTGCCGAAACTGAGCCAGAAATTGGTATAGGTCCCAAAAATCCCATATCCATCAGGCCTTAAATGCATAGAAGAACCTGCTCCATGATTCAGACCAGAGCAAACGATCTATAGGTGTGATCTTACATGCGACCCTCAGAGTCCTGCAGACGTTCAGGAAGAGGAGGGATTATGTAACCAAAGCCTCTTGTATTGTTAATTGAGTTTCAAAGTTGGTGTGGCAGGAAAACCAAACCCGTCTCTGATCGGGCAGAGTGCTTTGTGTTCTGTGCACAGATGGAGGAGGTCATGGTGTCACAACCTTCCTGTGACCGGTCCGGCTTCTCCGATGGATTTAAAAACGGTCAGACTGAAGACGCCAAGAATGTGAAAAACTAACAAGAATAAAAACATCTCAGACGAGGATGGGCAGAAGAGCTCTCTCTCCTGGGGTCTTAAATTCTAGGTTTCCCTCCCATCATTATACTACACACACACACACACACACACACACACACACACACACACACACACACACACACACACACACACACACACACACACACACACACACACACACACACACACACACACACACACACACACACACACACACACACACACACACACACACACACACACACACACACACACACACACACACACACACACACACACACACACACACACACACACACACACGCTGACGCTGCACTTTTACCCAGGGTGCCTCTGTGGAATTCCAGTCTCTTGGTCATGTTTAAGTTTAGTCTCTGCCACTCGTAAATAATACTCCCTTTATCCTCGCTGTCCCTCTCTCCCTCGGTCTGTCTCGGTCTGTTTGACTCCCCCCCCCCCCCCCCCGCCCCCCCAGAGGTTTTGGGGTTTTGCTCCAGCCGCCAGTTTTCAGCCTCCGCGGAAAATCCCCCCCTGTTCGGCGAACAGCAGTGGTTCATTCTTGTGGTCCGGAGCTAAAATTGGGACAAACCATTTCACACAGCTGGGGTTGGGTGAGGTCAGGTTCGTGGGTTTTCTTCTTAGAAAAAACTGAAATCTACGCACTAGAAATAGATCACGCTGCATGGTTTACTGTTCGATGAGGAGCTTGAAAAGAGACAGTGTGATCTTGCACGTCTGCAAAACAAACACCCTAATCACTTGGTTCATTGCATCCTCAGAAGGAGGGCGCGTTCATCTGTTTCTGGTGAGTCTGAGTTGAACTGTAAATAGTAAGTTACACCGAGGCTTCACTCTGCAGCGGTATGAAACAACATCTTCATGATGCAGATTTGTAAAAAAAAAAAAAAAATAAAGAGTCAAGCTTTGTCTGGTCTGTCCTCAAGAGGAATGGATACTAAACTATCACTTCTGATGCATTTAAGGAAGTCAGGAAATCTCATTGATTGGCTCTAGCGACAGAGTGACGGGCAGATTAGTGGCTCAAGTTGAATGAAGAAATACATTATTTTTGAGAGCTTAAAGAGATAAGACCCCCTCCTCATCACATCCTGCATTCTTCTATCACCACCACCAGGGTCTAGACTCCATGGGGGGGGGGTGGGGGGGTATCTTATCCTGCTGTCAGCCTCACTACCCCTCTGAGTGCATGAAGTCATCATGACAGAGTCTAATCCCCAAAGACTTTTCACATTTAGTTCCTGAATTGTTAAATAAATAAATGTTCATTCTTCAAGTCTCTCCTGATTAAATTGAATACTACCAGAACACTTCCTGTACTAAATTCCAGACACCCAAAATAGAGAAAACATCTATACTGGTCAACACTGGTTTTCTAAGTCACATAACCAAACGGCAAAGACGCTAGGTGCAGCACAGATCAAAAAACAGTAAACTTTTTATGATCCTATCAGTTACTTTGGACCTTTGAGCTTGAAAGTGTTTTGTGTATTTTCTAGTTTTCACTTTGTTCCATGAGCAGTGAGGGCCCTTTAAGGAGGAGCTGTTACACACAGAGCAGCAGCTCAGAGTGGTTTCTGCTCAGTCCTGGTGTCCTGCACAGATACATGGTTTTAAACTGAACTCCACTTGAACCCTGAATGCTGATGAAACGTCTCCAGTCGACATTTTTGGTAAAAGTTGTCCAACTTAAGAAGCTTATCGTGTCACGGAGGGACGACCGTGTTCCACTTTCTATCACAAACACACTCTGAGAATCTGAAGCAACGCTGTGGACTAAAGCCATTTGAGGCAGCGTTTAAAGATGTACCAATGTTAGGTCATTATTTTCATGCAATTTATTTTCTTTCACACTGATGTTGTTGCATTTTATTTCAAACTAATTCTAATACTTAAAGAGCTTAAACACCTGATATTTGCAGGAGGAGCTGTATGTGTGAACGCAAACGGACACATTTTTCACTCTGACTTCACCAAGCAAGCCTCCGGGTATTTTCTCCGCAGCAAGGCGGGGCTTAAAGCTCATTGCAAACAGCTACAAGTCACTCACCTGTCTGTCAACTCAGCTGCAAAACTCTTAAGTCTAATATGATCAAAACCCAGCTGTAGACATGTCCACAGGTTTTAATATGGGACCTATTGGGCATTCTTTGGTTTTTGGTGCCAACCCCAAGTGGACACTCGAGGAACTGCAGATGTTTGTTGTTCTTCCAGATTAGCTTCAGTGGCTGCTTGACACACACAGTTAACATCTTCTGAATCAGACCAAAAAACAACCACAAATAAAGTTTATATTTGATCATCTTTCTTCATGAAGGACTGCCCACTCTGGATACAAAAAACCTTCTGCAACAAAGGTCAAGAGGTCACTAAGATCAAACCAGAGTGGGTTGTTGTATTTTAAAATTCTAACAATATAAGTGTTTAACATGTGTGTATTGTTATATTAATTATGGCAGCTGTGCCTCAGTGGTAGAGTCGTCTCTCAACCTGAAGGTTGGGGGTTCGATCCCCAGATCCTGCAGCCACATGTTCGATGTGTCCTTGGGAAAGACACTGAACCCCAAGTTGCTCCTGCTGCTTTGTCTGTGGTGTGTGAATGTGTATGAATAGGATTAGTTACTTCTGAATGACTCTTTACTCAGCAGCCTCTAACATCAGGGTGTGAATGTGTTGGTGTGACCTGTGGTGTAAACGCACTTTGAGTAGTCAGAAGACTAGAAAAGAAATATACAAGCTCAAGTCCATTAACCCGCCCAACAAGAGATTTGTTGAAAATTTGCCAAAGCTACAAACTGTCCGTTTCACGCTCCGTCTATAAACTATATTTGATTGCAAAGTTTCTATAAGAATATAAACCCTGTGCAGAAACAGACAATAAATCAATAAATCAATAACTCATGAATTGATAAAGATGTCATAAACTCTGAAGGAGAAAAACACTTAGCCGAGTCACCTCCACATGAAGTGCGTTCAGCCAAGATGCTCCATCATCACTACGATAAATAAATCAACAACAAGTCTGTACAGTCTGTCAAAACAAAAGCCGCCTGACGTCCAATCACTTTGTTGGCTTCGGTCTTAAAAAGAGATTTAATAAAATACTTTCCCTCCCTCGCTCTGCATCAAATGGCCCCTCCCTCCCTCCGATGGGAATGGCAATACGGTTGCTATGGCAGCCAGCATACACAAACAACAGTGATACCATGGAATACCGCAAAATATTTACTGGACTCACACACACACACACACACACACACACACACACACACACAGGAGGCGGTTGGTGATGTTCTGGTTGTTTTGGTCCTTGGCGACGCCGCAATAGCAACAACTGAGTAATTACATCATGCTCTGGAGTACGAGACGATACACAAACAGACACACACGCTGTCTTTTGTTTCTTTCTGTTTGACTAGTTTTAATGGGAATGATCTTTTTTTTTGCACACACACACACACACACACACACACACACACACACACACACCGTCTCACCTCGCCTCACACGGCTCAGTGGGCGAGTTCTGGCGGGAGGAAGCTGCTTCACGAGGAGGTTTGTTTTGCATGGACTGAAAATGTTCTGATTATCTCACACGTGGCTGACTCTGTTATCAGTCAGTCGGCGTGGTAGTTGTTACATAAACATTAGATTAAAAAACAGTTTCCTCCAGACGGCAAATCAAAGGCCGCGAGACGCCTCTGACTGTAGTCCAATCCAAAAGGTTCCCCTGCACCACCGATAAGATTTATCAAATATTCAGAAGTTAAGATAATTAAGCAGCGGTTTGCACAGCATGGTGGTTCTGGTAAGTGCTGCACTTGACCCAGTGACCCAAAAAAATCTGGAAAGGTCTGCATGCGATGATGGGGAGAAATATGTGGACATGATTGACAGGTGGCATCAAACAGAAGCAGGAACTTTCATTTTTTTTTAACATTAACATTTACAACATTAACAACATTTTTAAAAATCCTTAAACTGCAGATGATCTTTTTTTTTTAACTTAAATATTATTTTTCATTCTTCAGAAGAAGGTTTACACGCTGAAGGATTTAGTTTGGGTGTTTGGACACAGAGGTAGAACAATAGGAACACAGCAGTACTCTTATAGAGCGTTCACACCTGCAGAAACCTCATGAAAAACTCTGGAGATTTCCCGGAGGAGCTGAATATGTGAACACAAATATCCACATTTTTCACTCTGACTTCACCCCGAGTATTTTTTTCTGCAGAAAGCCTGACTGTCATGCATTTTCTCCGTCATTAACAAATGACATGAACGCAGCGTAGCGGAAATACATTCTGGTACTAGCTTTGTTTTAAGTGGAGTTTTGCAGACATGATTTTGCAAAACTGCATGTCAGTGATGTCATCCCTCCACTGTACCCCAGTTGACATTCATTTTAGGGTTTCTAAATCAGTTTTTGCACATCTATTAAACTCCTCTGTAATAATAATATGGTACCATAATTTCACTTCATCCGTCTGATCTCATGTCGCCTAATTTATTGAGTCTTCCTTACAGTTGAATAATAACCCCCCGTGAGTCAATTTCCTGGTTAAATTAAAGGTAATTATCATTATTGAAATGTGTAAATGTCTAAAAGCTCATTGCAGGATGATGAGGGATGGAACCTGCTCTGCCTTCAGGCTCCGCCCCCTGCAGGTGATGTATTCTTAGTGACTTTTTTGTCTGATAATAACTGATCCATTTAGAGGTGATGCAGCCGAGATAATGATCATCAGCGAGCTTTTCCAAAGTAACGACCCGAATCATGAGGAGGCTGGACTCACCATGCCGTGATTGAGCCACTGAGGGATGAAGTTGTCCAGTAGTTTGGGGTAGACCAGTTCTCTGTCGTACAGGTACAGACTCCAGAAGGTAAACACCACAAACTACAGAGAGAGAGAGAGAGAGAGGGACAAAACTGAAAAGTTAGCAAACCAAGCACCGTGCAAAAACTACTTTTTCATCTCATAGAAACGCAGTTACATTTGTGACCTGAATATCATTATTATTATTAACTGACTCAGCAGAATAACACAAATGCAACCTTTCAAACTGTGTTCATATTCAGGACAAAGGGAACCGTGTAAACCTGATCATCTACACGTAGAGCCCGACCGATAATTAATCAGCCAGCCGATAATTTCAGCCGATATTAACCATCGATATCGGCTGATTATACCTAGCTTTATGATGGCTAGATTCATTCAAAAGACAAATAGCATTTCCTTGGAGTGTCATTGTATTACACTAGCAGTTCTCTTCCACCAGCAGGGGGCGCTATATGGATTACTACACGCATCATCACTCTCCAGAGGGTCAAGAGGTGAGGCACGTTGTTTGATATCTGCATTTGAGGATCAATGCATTCAATGTGTTAATCTATATCTATGTATCACTAAAGATCGAACGTGAAGGGTATCTGCAGATTTAACGGAATTGGATTTTCTCTCTTCCCAACACTGATATCGGTATCGGCCCCCAAAAAAGTCCCATATCAGTCGGGCCCTCATTAAAAGAGAAGAAGGTGATCACGATCAGGTGAACTCCCTCCCTGGACGACTGGCAGGTAAAACTTAACTTAAAGGATAGCTTAATCTTAGCATTTGCCACATTTTAAGATGCTAGATATGATAACATAACAAGTGTTTAATGTGAGTGTTGTGTTAGAATTTTATCCTGCTTCACTTTGAGCTCCAGTATCCCTTAAGACCAGTGGTTCTCAACTGGTCTAGCCTCAGGACCCATTTCAAACTCCTGACCCAAACGTTGGATATTTTTCAACCACTTATAAACTTTCTGACACAACTAGTTTTTCCTGGCCCACTAAAACGGCTCGGTGACCCACTTTTTGGTCCCGACCCACCAGTTGAGTACCACTGCCTTAGAGGACCTGAAGAAGTAAAAGACTGATGTGGTTTCTGATCCACAGTTAGAGTGGGCCATAAAGACTCCATTAGCATGGCTGCAGATGTTCAGCCCAGCTGTGCATCCACAACATCCCGCTGGAAGTTACAGCGATCGTCTTTCCCATGAGTCCTTAACGCACCAAAAGCTAAATAACTGAAGAGTCTAATGTATCTCCAGCAGACTGTTTGACCCGGGCCAGACCATGTTCTGTAGACGGGGGGGGGGGGGGGTGGAATTACCTGACCGTCACCTGGGCTCCAGTTTGAGGCACCTGAACCGATCCCCCTTATTGTACCCTGACCGGAAAGTTCTCTGCTTTCAGCGACACACACACACACACACACACACACACACACACACACACACACACACACACACACACACACACACACACACACACACACACACACACACACACACACACACACACACACACACACACACACACACACACACACACACACACACCTCAGCGCTCCTATAGGTGTGTGCGCTTCTCTTAAGTGTGTGTGTGCAGCTATCTATCTCACAGGTTCTCCTGTTGCTATCAACTGTGTGTCATCACCATCTCTGTGCAGGTGTGTGTGTAAACAGTGTGAATATTAATGACTGTGTGTGTGTGTGTGTGTGTGTGTGTGTGTGTGTGTGTGTGTGTGTGTGTGTGTGTGTGTGTGTGTGTGTCGAGAACCAAGGATCTGGGCATGGTCAAACAGACACAAGTTTCTCCATTCAGAAGCTACAAGGCAACGTGCCAAGTGAAATCTTGAATAAAGTGTGTGTGTGTGTGTGTGTGTTGTGTGTGTGTGTGTGTGTGTGTGGTGTGTGTGTGTGTGTGTGTGTGTGTGTGTGTGTGTGGATCAGACAGAGGTCACCGTCTGGCTGTCTGAAGGAAGCGGAGGACGTCTCAACACCGCTTCTCTTCTTCTGTTCTGATTTCATTCACAGCCGGACCGACCCGCTGAAGGTCGTCACCGATCACCTCATTTACAGAAATGTCACCAATATTTCACAACTTTTACGGCGTAGCCCACACGTAGACGGGCAGACGTTGTCCTCCTCCGTTGAAAATTACAATCCCGGTCAGGTCAGAATCAGTTTGTCGATAGCTAGCTTGATTAATAACTTCAGAATTAGATGTCAGATGATGTCAACAGGTGATATACGACCATCACAGATACGTGTGTAATTATGAGTTATTCCAATCAGAACGCCTTAAAGACTTATGTGTCAATAAATACCTGTTTTGATACCATGGCAACAGACGACTAACCTCATACTTACTGGTTACCAGATATTTAGACTTCCATTTGATGCCAGTAAAAACAAAACGATGTTAATACGATGTTTTGTTACCGTGGCAACAATAGTCTAAGTCCAATTTCTTATTTTAAATGACAAAATAGATGTGACAGTGTTGTTGCATTAAGTTGAATGCCGGAAATCTGTGCATGTCATGATCTATATGTTTGAGTAGAAGCAACAGGAACAAGCAGGAAGTGTTTTAGAGCATCGGGCCGGGTTTGGAGGGAAAGCTCAACTAGTCGTGTTTTAAATCTAAGAGCACACTTTGAGGTCATGAGAGCGAGCGATAATGCATTAAATACGGTCACGGTCATGTATGGAGAGACAGGGATCGCTCTGTGATGTCCACATCCTAACAGGGTGAGCTGTTGACACTTGTGACATCCGCATTCTGAGTTCACAAACAGTTTTTTTTTCAGACTTCTGAGAGAGGAAAAAATCCCTCTGAACAGAAATTGGGCCACAGTTCAAAGAGAGCGAGAGCTGATTACTCTACAAATGCTCGAGTCGAGCCTTTGATTCCTGCAAGCCAGGCTGATCCATCCCGAGGCTATTGTGAGTGTGAGTGTGTGTGTGTGTGTGTGTGTGTGTGTGTGTGTGTGTGTGTGTGTGTGTGTGTATGCTTGTTTGCATCCATCTGCTCACCGCTCCGACAGGGAAGGCCAGCACAGCCATCATCCAGTCCCTCAGGCCAATCAGCTTCCTCAGCTGACGCTCCTGCTCCCTGCTGTCGCCGCCCTTAGTCAGCAGACTGGAGACATCGATGAGGACACAGAGACCGAAGAACACCGCCTGGATCACCTACAGAGAGAGAGAGGGGGGGAGAGAGAGTGGGGGGGGGAGAGAGAGAGAGAGGGAGAGAGAGAGAGAGAGAGAGAGAGAGAGAGAGAGAGCGAGCGCTTACACCTTTTCTCATGACAAACACTTCAAAGACACAAAGCGATGAGGAAAATGTGTGCTCAAACAGTATGTTTGGAGATTTTCCCTTCATGACATCACAAAGGGCAGTAGCCCCTCCCCCAGGTGGGTGACACTCCCACAGCTAGGTGTTTGTTATGCCCTCTGAGTCTGCCTTCTCACCGTAAACAATAGGACATGGAGCAAGAAATCCAGAGACACCCAAGCCCTTCCAGAGAGGGGGGCGTGGTCAGACACAGCTCATTTACATATTTAAAGCTACAGACACAGAAACAGCCTAATTATCGTATAAGGAAATAATCAGGACTGTCGCAAATTAGCCGCAGCCCTAGAAATCCACTTTTAATAGTGCTAATCAGGAGTCATAAAACAGACAAACTAACTACCACACTTATAATGCAGCTTGTGAATTCAGCACTTCTCCAGAAACTCTGACATGTAAGATGTTGAAACTCCTCGCCTCACTGTGAAACAACCCTCCGACAGTCGGAAACTCTTTCACAAGCTTCCTCTGCTGAGACAAACTGTGTTCAGATAGAACTAAATGTGCATAAAAACACATCAAAAATATACTTCACTTTGATCACAGAGTTCACATGCACAGATGAGAAGAAGCTGCAGGGCGAGAGAGAGAGGAACCAGTTCTGCATTTCTTTTCTGTGTGTAATTAAACACTCACATCACCATAATCACAGTGATGGATCTGACCTCCAGCCAGGAGAGACTGGACAGGATGCACACACTTATCTCTCCTCTGATAATCCCAGCTGGAAGGATCAGGTGTCGTTCTCTGAGTGTGGGGTGTGGGGACGCCTCGGCCTCCAAGCTTTTTGTTTTTAGAGAGATCACATGCCGATGCGTTGTTTTTAATTTTGCATGAATCTCATTGTTCGGTCTAAAAAAACACGACGCTCCTGGGTGTGTATTCTGTCATCTTAGTGGACGTCAGGATGAATATAAATAAGAAGCCCCTGCATGAATTAGCTCCACTGCTACATGAATAATGGATTTCAATGAGAACTCAGCTAGCGATGAGGCTCTCTGATGATGAGAAGTGACAGACACAGTCTCCTCTCTCTCTCGAAGGATCTCACAGTATTCATGTCTGCAGTTCAGCGTCGGTGTAGCACTTCTCTGCAGGGCTTCATGTTGCATGTACACACACACACACACACACACACACACACACACACACACACACGAGGTATCATTGAGGTCCAGATGTTGTAGCGTTGTGTGTTTCCTGGCTGCTGGTGTGCACAGGTCATTAAGAGCTCAGTTAACCAGGAGGAGAAGTCTAATGTGGAAAATATGACTCGGCTTTCTCTCACACACACGCACACACGCACACACGCACACACACACACACACACACACACACACACACACACACACACACACACACACACACACACACACACACACACACACACACACACACACACACACACACACACACACACACACACACACACACAGTGAGGCTACATTTAAAGAACTGTTCTTAGGTTACACTTTAACTTCGGGTAAGATACAGAAGATAAAACCGACCGATTCATCGGCCGATATCAGCATAACCACTGATTATCGGTATCGGCTAATTTTATCGCAGATATGTGTCGATATTATTCAGCAGTTAAATATAATTTTAGTTGGGTTTAATTGTATTACACTACTAGTTCTCTTTCACCAGCAGAGGGCGCTGTATGGATTACAACCACACACTGTAAATATGAATATTTGAAGCCTGAGTATCGTCAGCCGTCTGTTCCTGCAGGGGGCGCTGGAGGCTCATCGATGGCGGCCTCCATGATGGAAATGCTGTCTCATCCTCAAGTGGACACTCCAGGAACTGCAGGATTTTACATTTGAGCATTGGCTTCATGTTTCAAGACCCGAGGTTGATGCTTGATTACAACAAGCGTCATCACTCTGCAGAGTGTCGAGCGGTGATGAAGAGGTGAGTGATCATCTTGTCTTCATTATAAATCTTTGTCATGTTTGATAACTGCATTTGAGGGATTAATGCAATAAATGTCCCTATCTTTATCTATCTCTCTCTACAGATCAGAGATCTAAGGAAGATATCGCCCAATATAAATATCAGTATCTCATTTTCTTCTTCTTTCCAATATCGTTTTGGCCCCAAAAGTCCCATATCTGTTGGGTCCAACCGTAGGGGGCGCTGGTGGTGCAGTGGTTAGTGCGCGCGCCCCATGTATGGAGGCTGTTGTCTCAAGCGGGTGGCCCGGGTTCACATCCCACCCGTGGCTTCTTTCCAGCGTGTCATTCCCCTCTCTCTCTCTCTCTCTGATTTCCGACTCTATCAACTATCAACAATCTCTCCATTAAAGGCACAAAAAGCCCAAAAATACATCTTAAAAAAAAGAAAACAACAGCAGAGACTTCAATGTTGACTTCATAAAATCTGGGCACATAAAAGTCAACGTAGGCTAATAGCTTCTTTATACTGGTCTTATAAAAGCTTCTGATGAGAGCTGCAGAACCAGTGATCTGAACCCTGAAGTGAAATTGAATTTAGGACTTCACGCTTTAATGACGAGTTTAAAAAGGACACACACACACACACACACACACACACACACACGAGGCCACCAGTCAGTTTGAACAATGCACGCATTCAAGCGTCCCAAAAAGAGGCCGTTGTGTTGGAGGCTAATGCTATTAGCCAGTCATGTCAACTTTTAGTAGTAACGGCCCACAGAGTGAGATGATGGACGTTTTGTTTTATTCAGGACGACTCGGCATATTAGTGACTTTGACTTTTAATTTCATTGAAGAAGGCCGTTTAAAATCACTGAGCGAGTTTGTTTTGTTTTCAATCATATTTTGTTTAGTGTGAAACCTGCATCCATTCATTTCATTTCATTACAAATATCTAACAAAACTTTGTTGGTTTCAGTTGTTTTCTTGAGATCTTGACTTATTTATGTTGTTATCTCAAAATAACGTCGGCTTATTGTGAAACACTTCAGTACTTTTTTTAAGGTCTCGAGAAAAAAACTCATCTTCATGGAGTGAAAACCTTAGTGGTTAGGAGGCTTTAATCCTTCAAGCAGGCGGCCCGGGTTCAAGTCCGACCTGCTGCCTCTCTCTCTCTCTGATGTTCTACTCTATCCACTGTCCTACCTGAAAAAAGGAAAAAAAGCCCAAAAATAATATCTTACAAAGTAAATAAATAAGTTTATATCTTGAGAAAACAGCTGAAACAGAGAATTAAATGTAATATATTTAGAGCTTTTCAGGGTTTTGGACCATGAACTCTTACTGTACATGCTCATAAAGGTTAATGAAATGTATGATGGGTCACCTGCAGATCATATGGCGCTTCATTTGAAAAATATAGGTCAGTTACAATACTAGTTTGAGCATTTATAACCTATTTTTTTCCACATTTTCTTTTTAAAAACGAGGTTATGTAAAGAATAACAAGAATTCATCCAGGACATTTTCCCGTTTCTCTCATTTCCAACAGTTTCTCCAGGTTTTTCCCGGACACGTGGGAACCCTGAGCTTCAAAAGGCAAAATCAATACTGTGCACGAGGCGCACTCCCGCGTAAAGGGGGATCGTTTGTGACAGGGAGCATTCTGCACCGTACACCTGTTCCGGTTCTGCACACACACACTCACAGCTCCCCAGCAGAGCACGTTGGTAGCTTAAAACACGACTCCACACACAACTAAACTATCATTACTGCAATTTCAACAGCTGCTTTCTTTAAAACGATGAATTAAAACCCGAAAAGACAAACAGGAAGCAGGAAACCGCTGAATAAGCATGACACTGTAACCACAACACGAAGCACAGACTCATTCAGCTGACCTACCCGGGTGTTTCAGGGTTCAAATGTAATCTTACCAGGTCTATGAAGGTGAGGAACTTCCAGCTGCCCCCGTAGGTCTGGTGTGCCGGCATGTCTAAGGCTTTGTAGTGGCAGAGGATGGAGAAGTAAGACATCAGGATGGCGACCCGGAGAACCTGCGAGGGGATCAGCGCCATGATGCTCCGCTCTCTCTGTGCCGATCTTAAGGTTGTCTGCTTTAATATATCTGCACCCCCTTTTCCTGCACCCCTGTCTGTTTCTCTTTAGAGCTGTTTTGTACCTGTGTTAACCTCGCTGTCTGTGTGTGCAGCCTCTCCTGTCCCCCCCACAGTGTGTCTACTGCTTCCGTGTTGTGATGATGATGCAGCGGGGAGGGGAGGGCTGACAGCCGGGCTTCCACACAGACCACAGTACACTTAGAAACACATGAAATGTTTTAGCCTTTTTTTAGTCTTTTTTTTTTTATTAAATTATTTGGAGAATACATTTAAAAAAGAAAGGAAACATGAAAGAGTTTGAGTGAAAAGTTGAACATTTTAAATTATGTAATGTTTGTGTGAGAATACACTGAAATAAGCCTTAAAGGTGACATATCTTCATCCTCTTCAACCAGTTTAAATAAGTCTCAGAGCTCCTCAAAACATGTGTGTGAAGTTTCTTGTCCTAAATCCACTCTGATCCTGTATTTGATCATGTCTATAAACCCTCTATTTCAGCCCTGCTCAGAACAGGCTGTTTCTGTGTCTGTACCTTTAAATATGTAAATGAGCTGTGTCTGACCACGCCCCCTCTCTGGAAGGTGCTTGGGTGTACTCGGTGCTTTCTCTCGCTCCGTGTCCTATTGTTTACGGTGAGAAGGCAGACTCAGAGGGCAGAACAAACACATAGCTGTGGGAGTGTCACCCACCTGGGGGAGGGGCTACTGCCCTTTGTGATGTCATGAAGGGAAAATATACAAACGGCCTGTTTGAGCACACATTTTCTGAAAAGTGGAGCAGGCAGAAGACGGAGAGGATGGACTTTTCTCATCATTGGGGGGTTGTAGACGGACTAGAGACACATGTTAGAGTTAGAGGAACATGGAGAAGTGGATTTATTTTGTGACCTCCAGGCCTTTGTCATTGCAAATTATTTTTAAGCCATTAAGATTACAGGATTATTCTACCCATTGAGGTATGATATATGGCCTGATATGGTGTATCTTTGATGTAAAATATGACTGATTCTTTCTACATTTTCTAAATAATATCTTGAAAGTAAAATAAAGATGTTTGAAATTTTTTTGTCAAATCTTAAAAATCTGTTGTGGTATGCGTCAAATGACGATTATTTAAAGGGTGCTGAGAGGAAACTAAGAGGTGCTTCAGCCCCCCTAAAAGGGTCTTAAATCACCTTTAGTCTCTTGCTAATAAAGTATCCACTGAAACAGAAATGAACTGGTTTACAGAAAAGGAGAGGATGCTGATAGACCTCAAGCAGGCGGCGGAAAGAGGTGATGCAGTTGCCATGGTGACGCCGAGCAGCTACTCAGGAAGGAGTGAAGTGCTGTTTCTGCACTCGCAGGTTCACAGATGGCTGCACGCATGGTTTCAGGTTTACGTCAAACATCCTGTTTTTAACCCTGACAGACGATGCTGTAGACCTGCACGTTGATAGTTATCATGGACATGGACATGACTCACTCTCTGATTACTCTCAGTGTTAGAGGAATCAAACCTGGTGCTGATACAAGTCAAATCCGCGAATATGAAACTCTCCTCTTGTAGCTTCTTTTAAACATGTTGATGTCGGAGCAAAGATGCTTTTTTAAAAGTCCTGTGAGGAGTTTTTATCTGGATCCATCAGGTCGGTGATTCAGACTGCCAAGAGCCACAAAAAATGTTCATAAAAAATAATTTGTCCCAAATGCAATAAAATTATTAAATTCATAACGGAAAAAACTCTAACTGCGCATTGTTTTATGAAATGACTGTCTTAGCACTCTGGCTTATTATTAACTTCACAAACCATGCTGACTGTGATGTTGTCGAGGACTACAGGCGCTCTCCTGGTTTCCTGCTGTGCTTGAATGTTGTCATGTTTGTCATCATGTTTTTTGTTCTGTTTTTGTGAAGCCAAAGACAATTTTCCACATTGTGGACAAATAAAGTTCTATTCTATTCTATATGAACGGAATGAATATCGATGCATCTTTATGGCACACAAAAGCAAACAAGACGACCAGCCCTGAGACTTCATGTCCACCTATAGCATTTTTTTCCTGGGCGGAAAAGCGCTGACTGTGCGCCCCACCTGTCTCCATGACAACAGTCTGTTTACAACGGCAGCTGTATGACCAACCCTCCTCTGTTACTTTTTACTGCATGTTCTATATTTGTTTATATATATGTTTTATATACCTTCACATCGTAAAGTCTCTTATCTCGCTGTGTCCTGTTGTATGGTATCATCTCGTCTCGTCCTGTGTTTTATCATGTTTTATTGTTTTGTATTGTATCTTGTAGTGAAGTATTGAATCGTGTCTTTGCGTTCCTGTCATAACATAACTTATTTAACTCATTTAATGGTCAGCCCAAAAGAGGTTTGTGAAGACGTTGTTACCCAGTGAAAGAGATCAGAGACCGTCCACTGTAGAAAAAATAAATCACTCTGAGGCTGCAGGCCAAGGACAGATAATTAGATTGAAGTGATGAGTTGGAGTTTTCACCAGTTCTTAAATCTACAACAATAAAACTCATGTCAAGAAAGTCTTCCCAGAGTCAACTTAAATAATTGAATTTAGATCGTTACAGCAATCATTCCTTTGGTTGCAACAACATCTTGAGAATCAGATTCTATTCTCTTCTTTTGTGTCTTTTTGTTTTTGCCTGTATGTGTGTTTCCAAATTGAGCAATTCAGAGTTTTCCCGTTAACCCCTAAATATTTACATAGCTGAGAGATTTCCGATGCAGATGAGGGGATATTTACTCGGTCACTGAGCAGCTCTCCCGGAGATATTTAAAGGATTAAGTGCCTTGCTAAAGGGCTCCTTCCCTGAAAACCGTTTTTCTTTACTTTTTAATGCAGCTTGTTTGAGGTTTGGAGGAGTTTTTGTGGAAAATGCCAGGATGATTGGACGGAATATTCTGACCCTCGAGGATCCATGAGAAAGCTGGAGTGTGTGTGTGTGTGTGTGTGTGTGTGTGTGTGTGTGTGTGTGTGTGTGTGTGTGTGTTGTGTGTTTCAGAGAGTGGGCATGTGTGGAAAGTTTCCCATTGTGAAAATAAGCCTCTCTGTACCAGCCTGGACGTCAGCTTACCACTTCATAGGGCGGCGCGCGCGCACACACACACACACACACACACACACACACACACACACACACACACACACACACACACACACACACACACACACACACACACACACACACACACACACATATGCCAGCACTGTGGGATCTCTGAAGAGTTGGCAGCGGCATGTTTCCTCTTCCTCCTCCTCCTCCTCCTCGTCTTCCTCCTTCATCCAAATTGCTCCACAGTGGAAACTCTGCTGACTGTTACAGACAGAAGGTATTACATAACGTGGACTCCCCTTAAAGAAACAGATTGCACAGTGTTGTCGGGGTGTACAGTAAAAAGCAGGCATGACCTTGACTGACCTAGAATGAAATAAAGTGATTGTTACATTGATTGTATTGTGCTTACTGTTTATTTGTATTACACAGGTTAACTGTTTTACTGTTTTTTTATGCATCTAACCTGGATTGGTCCGCAGCCAATCACAGGGCTGACATATAGAGACAGAAAACCAGTCACACTCACTCAAAATACGGGCAATTTAAAGTCAGCAATTAACAAAACAAGCATGTTTTTGGACTGTGGGAGGAAGCCGGAGTACCCAAAGAGAACCCACACATGCACAGAGACATGCAAACTCCACACAGAATCCAGCTGTCCTAGGGGGACTCGAACCAGGAAGCTTCTCGCTAACCACTGCACCACTGTGCAAAACAAAACATTTGCAGGATGCCTGAATGAATAATCAATTCTAATCTGATTTGAACTTAATTGAAAAACAGTAAACTCTAGTTAGTTACTCTAGTTTTCAGTTATTTTATTTTAATTTATTTTACCCCAAACAATAGACACCATGCGTCTCCATGGCAACCGAATCTGCTTCATGACGTTAACAACGTCGTTTTTGATTCTGGTGAACTAAACTAGGCTATTCAATGTGAAAAACGTAAAGAAAAAGAAGCAAAAAACGTTAAAAAGCAAGTGAACAACTACAGTAATGATACTGATGAATAATGAGAATCTCCCATTTTGATGTCAAGCTTTTGTACGGAGGCCATGAAGTCCCAAAAAGTGAAAAATAATAATCTTATTAAAAGAAATTATGCTTTACAAACAAATGAATGTGATTTTATTAACATAATATCTTGTGCACACATGATATATATTTTTTTATACTTTTTTGAGACTTCAGGGGCTCCAAACTATTGCGGCTACAGTACTGTCAAAAAAAGAAAGAAAAAGAAACACGCCAAATGAAGCTGAAGTAAAGTAAAGCAAAATAAAAGAATACAGGTTTGAATGAAAATTCAAGTTTGTGTTTTATTAAATACATTTTTAAACTAATTTCAGTAATTTAAGAAGGTTTAATTAGCTTGGATTCCCGAAAATTAAACATTTTAATGAACACACTGACTCATCACCGGTACTGACGCTAACCAGCAGGGGGAGCTGTTCAGCCCCAAACAACCTTTAGTGTGTGTGTGTGTGTGTGTGTGTGTGTGTGTGTGTTCTCCCCTTCATCTCTCACTCTGCATCTATCTCTCTATCTCCTCTGAACGCACGCACACACACACACACACACACACACACACACACACACACACACACACACACACACACACACACACACACACACACACACACACACACCCTGTGAAGAAGTCCTCTTGAAACTGTTATCTCCCTGGTAGTTTCACCTTTACCCTCGGATGTTTATGTAACATATGAGGGCCACACCTCAACACACTGATGACTGTACATGTATGTATGTGTGTGTGTGTGTGTGTGTGTGTGTGTGTGTGTGTGTGTGTGTGTGTGTGTGTGTGTGTGTGTGTGTGTGGTTGGATGACAGGGATTAATGTGGCGTCCTGAAGAGAATCAAAACCCAAAAGATGGAAAGATACACAATGTTAGCGTGTGTGTGTACATGAATAAAAGAGCGTTAACACTACTCGCTCGCTCGCTGTCAGTCTGTAGGAAACTAGGTGTGGTAACGTATGTGTGTGTTAGTGTGTGTGTGTATGTGTGTGTGTGTGTGTGTGTGTGTGTGTGACCGCGAGTCTGTATGAGTAAGCATTAGTAATCAGTCAGC